GTTTGTAATAGCTAAAACTTGGAAACAGCCCATTTGTCCATCAGTTGGAGACCGGATAAAGAAGATGTGGTTTTTCTATAAAATGGAATACTACTCAGCCATAAAGAATGAGAAAGAGGACCAGGGATTTAGCTCAGTGGTTCCGTGGCCTGCCTTGCAAGTGCAAGGACCCGAGTTTGATCCCTGGTGCCAAAAAAAAGAAAAAAAAAAGAATGAGAAAGTCATATAGGAAAATGGATACATATGGAGGATATACTCCTAAGTGAAATAAATAAGTCACACATGTATAAAGACCAAATGAAAAACTATAATGGTACATAAGATCCTAATGATATAATTGACAATGTGAAATAGGAAGAAAATGGCTAAAGGTGTAGGGGAAGTGATAGGGTAGGGGAAATGTAATAAGGGAAAAGAAAAAAAATGAGAAAATGGAAATAAAGTATTTGTAAATAGGGAAGGGAGGAAGGAGGGGGTGAAGGGAGGGCGGGGACAAGGGGAAAAAATGAGAACCAGGACCTGTCATGTAAAGGTACAAGATCCCAATGATGAATGTAACTGTACTGTACACCTAAAATGTAACAATAAACTCAATGAGGAAAAAAAAAAGAAAGGGCCAGAATAATGAGAAGAATTAACTGTTAAAATAGTGCTTAAAAAACCTGGAAAAGAGAAAAGTTGGAGAAAGGAATATTCTGAGTTCTGACATTAAAGAAGAAATAGAATTATGACTGTTAGTAAAAGTAGTTAATCACTTTTTGAGGGCTTGATCTGTTTAGATGTAGTAGACATCCCTATGTTACAGATATTCCAAGGCATGTACTATCTCTTTTATAAATGATGAAACTGAGGCTCTGGGAGGTATAGTAACATGTTCAAGGTCACACAGTTATTAAGTGATATCACAATTAAAAGCAAGGTCTGCCTAATCCCAAAGCCCCTTAGCCATCAGGCTGTGCGCTGATTCACAGTGAATAGAGATCACAGTGAGGCAGACCTTACGCAACAGGGAGAAGCTAGCCATCCCAACTGTTCTGAGTTCCCTGCAGAGGAGGCCTTGAAGCAGAAAGTAAAACATCACTTATTGGGCTGTTGTGAAAAGAATGTCTTACTTTGGAAAGATGAACTTTAAAATTACACTCCATATGGGTCTCTTCACATGTGACGAACTCCTCCTGTCTAGGCCAGACCAGGCCGTTCCTTTTGTTCTGTGATGTATATTCATTTCCCTTCTGGTCTTATTTTTGCTGAGGTCCCATCCTGCAGGGATCTGAATAGTTAGATCATTTCTATTCTGAAGGAAAATGAAATTTAGATAGAGATTCACAGTGTTTGTTTGTTTGGGTTTTTTGAGACAGGTTCTCGCTATGTAGTTGGGGCTGGCTTGAGCTCGCTTACTCTGTACCCTAGACAGGCCTTGAATTTGCAGTGATTTTCCTGCCTCAGTCTCCTGAGTGCTGGTATTACAGGAATGTGCCACCATGCCTGGCTTCTCATTCTTTTTTAAAGTTTAATTTTGCTATTACCTTTAGCATACTGATGTTTGTACAGCATCTATGGCACCATCTTCAGAGCTCTTTAGATTGTGATGACCTAAACATAACCTGAGGCATAATATGCTACAAGTCTGAGCCACTTGTTACCAGTATGTTGTACAACCACTGTACTACAGTGCCTACATGGTGCTTGTTGATGAAAATGCCAAGGTCTTGCATGAGAGAAGGAGTGCATAGTTCCTTTGCTGCACGAAGGCATTTTAACAGTTGATCTGATGAGGAAAGGTTATGGAGAGATGTGAAAAAAATGCATCTTTTTAAAAATGGTTATTGTCATTTTCTTATATGCCTTTAAAAATTATAAGGAATGTCGGGCTGGAGGTATAACCAAGTGGTAAGTATATGGGTGAGGTGCAGTGTTTGATTGAGAGAGGGGGAGAGAGAGAGAGAGGGAGGGAGAGAATGAGAATGAATCCCAAAGTTTGACAAACTACTATTAATCTTACATATTGGTGTTTGATTTTATAGAGTAATTATGCTTATTTTTAAGATTCAAAACAATAATTGTAATTTTTAATAAAGCAAATTATTTTTTGTAGTTTATTCACCTTGATGATGATTGTGTAACAGAGCTTTCTGTACATCATAGAAACAACAGGCAAACAATGGAGGATTTAATTTCGTTGGTAAGAAATACAACAAATTTGAGAATGTCTTTGTTTCATTGTTCTTTATTAGTACATTAAACATAATGTACCATATTTAAGACCTATGATTTTGTCATGAATGTAAATATTGTGTGCATTTTATATTTGTGTATAATTTCAGTGCAGTTCTTTAAAATGAACATTTTACATTTAAGGCATTGGTTAACTGGACATGGTGTGCATGCCTCTAATCCCAGCACTCTGGGAGGCTGAGGCAGGAGGATCACAAATTCAAGCCTAGCCTGGCAATTAAGTGACTTAGCAAGACCATATCTCAAAAAGAAAAAGATAGTGATTAGAGCCTTGTAGTGAATAAAAAATTAATAAACAGAATAGTAGTCCAGAGAGAATCAATAATTCTAATTTTGGCTACTTTAAAGGTCTCTATCATAGAAATCTGATTCTTCTGTAAAAATGAGGTAAACGTAATGCCATTTTCTTACCTGTAAACAACCCTATAGTGCCTAAGCTTTTGGACGAAATTCAGAAATTATTATTATAATTATTATTATTATTTTATTTTTTGGTTTTTTTGAGACAGGGTCTCATTATGTAGTTGAGACTGACCTGAAATCACTATGCAGATACAAAAACCTTTATCAGCATTTCTATTGTTGAATCATTCAGGTCTTTCAGATGTTATCTACCTGGATTATATCTGTATTTTTTTAGAAATAGAGGCATTCATAACTTTCTGGGTACAATCTAGAGTGATAAATGACGATCACACCTTGCTATGCTCCCCACCTATGACTGTGTGAGGCTTTGGGGGAACATGTAAACACAAACCATAACACTCACACTCCTCCTGCCTTAGCCTGAGTGCTGGAATAATAGGTGTAAAACACCATGCCTGGTTCAGAGCTGGAATTTTTAAAAACATCCCAAATTATTGCATTGTACAGCTCTAGCAGTTAAAAATCAGTCTTCTAGTTTTTTGCTATTCAAAATATAGTCTAGAGCCAGCAATAACAGTATCCTTTAGATGCTGATTAGTAATGCAGAATCTCAGGCCTTATGGTAGACATACTGAATCAAAATTTGCATTTTAATAAAATCCCCTAGTGATTTATATGTACATTAAAGCTCGAGAAGTCTTGGTCTAGGTCAGTTCTTAACCATGAATGATTTTTTGCTCCCAGCCGGGGACACCTGGCAATGTCTGGAGACATTTTTGGATGTCACAATTAATGTACGTGTGTATATGTGTGCTAATGTCCTCCAGCAGAGACCAGAGATATTGATAAGCATCCTACAATGCCAGAACATACCCTAACAACAAAGAATTATCTGGGTCAGAAGTGAGTAGTAGTCCCAGGGTTGAGGAACCTAGTCTAAGTAGTCTCAGAGAATTCATGTTGGTTTTAGGTACTTTCCAGTTTGAAGAGCCCTGGAAAACCAAGTTTGAGATCAACTTAGATCTTTTCTATTTTTATAGCATCTTGGGAATTTTGCCTTTACTTTGGCTCTGGTTAAACAGACACAGAGAGAAATCAGTTCAACATGACCCATGTTGGCACAATGCTGCTGATCTTTGTGCAAAAATAGAGAAATATAATTCCTAAATATTCAACCCCTTCTTGCATATTGTATTTATGATCACTCTTAGACTGCTTTTTATATGCACTCATCAGAATCTCCTGTGACTCATGATTTTGAGTGATACCTTTTGAGATTCCTAACAGTGGTGCTAGAGCTTCCAGTTTATTACTCTTCTTACTTTCTCCCTGTTTCTCCAGCATTTAGTGCTCTGGATTATGGGAACAGCCATTCATCTGATAGGGAGACTTCACTGACAGTCACATGAGCATATGAGAACCTACTGCGAACAGACAAGAACCCCCCTACTCCCCATCGCTGTGATGCAAACTTCAATGTTTGCAGGGAAAGGGTGGTGGGCCACTCTCTAACCTTCTGAAAGTAGCTGCCTCTCTCAGCCCAGGCTCCTATGAACTTCTTCAACATTTAACTGGGGATTTAAAAACTGTTTTTAGTTTTCTAGAAATGCAAGTTTCTTCCTACTAGGTAAATTTATTACTTTCAAACATTTGACTTTCAAAAAAGGGAACTGCCTAAAAGATAAGAGAGACATTAATTGTATTAGTCTTGTGGATTGACATTGTTGATTTATCTGTTATTGAACACAGAACTCCCCTGTGTATCTTATCATAATGGGAAGTATACTATGGTTTTGGAAAAAAAAAGTTATAAAAAAAAAAAACAACTCATTTTTTTTTCTAAAATCTTTAGTACTACCCAGGAATAGTTTATAGTGCCTGGATTATACCATGCCATTGTTGATAAGAAAGTGAAAATTTGTTTCTTATCCATTGTCTTTTATCAGTTTGTAGCATTTCTTTAAAAAAAAAAAAGGTGGCTAGCATGCATGAGATAATAGATGTGGGAAATGGGGGAAAATCCTGCATGTAGTTTTGGGAAGATGGAGGTTGATTATAAATTTTTCACCCAGGTCCTAGATACCTTCTGTAGGAAGGTTTTTCTACATGTTTTCCTCCTTCCCTTCCTCCCTCTCTTCTTTTCTCCTTTGTTTTCTTCCTTCTTTCTGATCTGCCTGGATTAAAGACAGCATTCTGTGACAGTTTATCACAGTGCTTTATATTTCCCTCCCTAGATGGTGATAGGGGCAATCTTCAAAGCATATATTATGCTTGAGGCTCTCTAAAATACTAAATAATAAAATTTATTAATAAAAATTAGTAGTAGATTTCTTTAGGGAGCTCTATAGCGTTTAGTATCATTCTATAGTGTTAAATATATTTCTTTTGTAGATCAGAGTATCATAGTCTTATGAGTACATTATTTAGAAACTTTAGACTAAACATTGGATTGAAGGCTGGTGACTTAGTTCAGTGGCATGGCACCTGCCTTGCAAGTGTAAGGTCCTGAGTTTGATCCCTGGTACCGAAAAACAAAAACAATATAGTGGATTGAAATAGGTATATCTACATCTAACATTTTCTTTTGAGACAGGGTCTCACTACGTAGTTGAGACTGCCCTGGAAGTCACTGTGTAGCCCAGGCTGGTCTCGAACTCACAGTGATCCTACTGCCTCATCCTCCTGAGTGCTGGGATCATAGGCGTGCGGCACCATGCCCAGCTACATCTAACATTTTCTGAAACTTTGCTATAACAATAAAAAGGGATTTAAAAAAGCAAAAAACAAAAACAAAACAAAACAAACAAACAAAAAAACCTCTGAAGGACAAGATAATAAAAGGGGAGACAAACGGATATCAATATAATTTTGGAAGTTATAAAGCAGATAAATGGTACCTGACATAGCATTTTGGAGAAAGCCCAAATCTAAGTGCCTTCAGTAGCAAAAGGCAACAAGCAAATGATTACTGCCTAGAGAGAGCTTCAGAAAGTCTCAGGAACCTCTTCCATCAAAGGAGTAACAAGATAATTGCTTGAAAGTCAGTCTTGGAAACAATGAGAACCTTGGATCCCTATCTCCATCTTCTGCTCACGCAGTGATTTCTTCCCTGCCCCAGCAGAAAATTTGAGATCCTTAACAAGAGACATTATTGAACCAGGCACAGCTTGGGTAGATGATGAACCATGTTGAAATGGATACATGGTCCTTGTATTCAGCAGTGAGCCATTGCCTCTAATTCCCTTCCCTGTTCAACCTGAGAATACTGGATCTAGGACTTTGTCCTGTTTTCAGTGAGGGTGGGGGAAATATTGGAAGATTTATTTCTGGGGAACAGCCAGGAGGAAGACCTACTATACTGATAGGAGTTCAGGTTCTTGTCTCTTCCCTTTGGAGAAAAGCCATTAAGGTGATGAGCAGCAGCCCCGTCCCACCCACTGAGTAACTTTTTTTTTTCTGTGAGACAGGGTCTCACTCTGTAGTCTAGGCTGGTCCTTGGTTTACTATGTAGCCCAGGCTGACCTTGAACTCACTGCAGTCCTGCCTCAACCTGCTGAGTGCTGGGATTACAGGTGTGCACTACCACACCCAGTCATCCCACCCACTGAGGTTCTAATCAGCTATGTAATATAATTCAATTTTAATACAGTAGACAACCAAAGATTGACAGATGTTTGAGGAAAACCTCTAATATGAAAGTTAAAGGTTGTGTACGTCAGTGATCGAGCATATGCTTAATGTGTACAAGGTCCTGGGTTCAATCTCCAGCACCAAAAAGAAGAGAAGAGAGAACAAAATGGGGGAAAAAAAAAGTCAAAAGTCAAAATAGGGCTGGGGATTTAGCTCAGTGGCGCCACTGCCTGCCTCACAAGTGCAAGGTCCTGAATTTGATCCCTGGTACAAAAAAAATTTTTTTTAAACCAAAAATAATAAACAAGTTAAAGAAACTTTAGATAAATTATTTGATTGTGATTATTCTTGGAATTGATCAGGAAACCTGACAAATGACTGAGGGAATCTTGTGTCCCTGCAATCTCAAGCCTGTTCAACAACAATCTGTTGCTCTTTTATCCTATGTCAACCCCTAGAGCCGAAATTTCCCCCCGAAAAAAAAAAAAAAAAAAAAAAAAAAAAAATCAAAATAAATTGAGCAGAGTGGGGGTAAGGGGAAAAAAGAAAAGTTATTGAGAAGAAAATGATAATACAAGGAATGAGGAAAATTGATTAAAAATGATAATTCTCAGATAGGAAAAGCTATTTCATTCTTGAAATAGGAATAAGATGACTAAAAGAGGAACTTTCCAAGTGATAGCTCTTGCAAATCTAACATATGCCCACAGAAATGAAAAGCTCAGAAATATTTAAAATGAAGTTAATGTGAAATCTGTCAAATACAGAACCTAAAGACAGATGTAAAAATAGAGATGGGGTAAGAAAGGTCCAATACGCAAATAATAGAAGTTATAGGAAGATAGAAGAAAGAGGAGAAGGACCTATAAGATATTTTAGAGCATATGAGTTTCCAAGAATGAAGTTGGGATTAACCAGTGCATGAGAATAGTTCTACACCAAGGCCTGTTCTAGTGGAATCTCTGAAAACTGGGGAGAAAGAGAGGATCAAAAAAAGTTTAGAGACAATAACAAAAAGACATAACACAAAGGTCTGGGAGTCAGAAAGACTAGTTTTTCAATAGTTATACTAGAATAAAAAGGCCCATTATTCCTATACTTGGCCGAGTCAAAATCAAGTGTGAGGATAGAATGTCTTGTCAGACATGCAAAAATCTCAAAAAATTTACCTACCACATCTGCATCTTCAGAAAGTTACTGGATGATAGGTTTCACCAAAATAAGAATGTAATTATACACCAAGAAAGAGGAAAAAAAAATAAGAATCTAGGGAACTTGAGATACATTGTAGGGCAGAAGTGAAAGAACTCTGGACTGACAGTTGGGTAGTGATCTGAGGAAGAAGCCAGTGCAGTGGGCAGCATGGATGCAGGCCTTGGGTGGGATATCCATCAGAGGCGGGGAGGAGGCAGATATCTTATATGCTGTGAACCTGTTGAGAAGAGGTCAAGAGTGTTGAAGCCTGTTAGGCTGAATTAGTAAGAGGAATAACAGACTTTAAAAGTTTTAACTTCAGGAAAAAGAAGTCATATCTCTCTCTCTCTCTCTCTCTCTCTCTCTCTCTCTCTCTCTCTATCTATCTATATCCCTATCTATCTATCTATCTATCTATCTATCTATCTATCTATCTATCTAAAAAGAAATGTAAGAATAGGGCCCCGTGTGAGTTAGCTGCTGGGCTGATATTCAGTCAGTGTGGCCAGATTGGTTGATGGAATATTTATAAATGCTTAATAAGTAGCCACTACTACAAGTGCCTTCCCTGTTGCCTTGTTACTACTCTTAGACACCATGGTACTACTTCCCCTACAATTCAAAGGTTAATAATTGGCATGACAGAGATCCTCCAGAACCCCACTCACTTCTTGGCCTCTTCCGATTATTTGGTGTCAGGGTACCAGTTAAATATTTAGAACATTACCCTCACTTAGTTGTGAATACTCTTTACTTAAAATGTAGATATTGAAAATTACAATATTATAGAGGGAGACAGGGAAAAGACATGTAGAGAAGGGAGCGAGTTGTAATAGACCTAAATTCTCATCTTCCATACTAGGAAATCTATAGGTAATATCTGAAGCCAAAAAAACACAAAAGTGTATATGGAATTTTTTTTTTTTTTGTACTGGGAATTGAACTTCGGTCTGCACTTGCAAGGCAGGTGGCGGCACCACTGAGCTAAATATATGGAATTAATAGCAGAAGAAATTAGTAAAAGTGCTTAGATATTATTTTTTCTGTCAAGTTGGAATTGTAAATGTGTGGTACAGAGGATTACTATTTGTTATATTATTTGAAAAGTTATTGACTTTAAATTCTGAATAAAATATTGAGAAAAAATTCACTTTAAATAGAACATTATTTCAATAAGTAATGTTAATTTTCTAAAAAGCTCCATTTCCTTTTCCTCTAGTGGCAATATGATCACCTCACAGCCACCTATCTTCTGCTTCTAGCCAAAAAGACTCGGGGAAAACCAGTTCGCTTACGGCTTCCTTCTTTTTCCTGTGAACCTGATAGTGCCACCCCAAAGGTAAATACTAGAACTTTCTTGTCATGTGCCACCCTGTTCTTGAGTGGACATACCACTGGGAACATTAACTTCTGGTGTCAGGGAGCCAGAGGCAAGACACTTTAGGATTTAAATATTACTGATGAGAAAAATGAAGAATTCTGAACTTGAACTCTGAAAGTTTGAATGTTAATGTGGCATTAGCTCAGTGGCACCACACCTGCCTCTCAAATGCAAGGTCCTGAGTTTGATCCCCAGTACCAAAAAGTACCTCAAAAGCACTTCTCTTCAGCTCTTCTTCACAAAAACAGTTTGTGATTATTATAGAAATAGATAGGCTAAAAGGAAAACAGAATTGGCCAATAAGCCTACTAACTATAGATGACATAGCTGATATCTTACTGTCTTCCCAATCTTTTTGGGTAAATGTGTTTATATAATTTATGTGCATGCAAGGGACTTAAAAGGACACATGTTATTGAATTGTACAGAACAACTTTAAAAATTATTGGGAATAAGATTGGTGAATGCAGAATATATTATACTTCATATAATAAAATACTTCAATAAATATTTTGATATGTTAAGAGTTTAGCTTTAGATTTTTGCAGTAGCTATAGCTCATACCACTCAGATTCTTTGCATGAGAGTTGATTGTAACCAAATTATTCTCTATTTTGTCATCCTTTACTTTTCTTTGTCATGGACATTTACCACAGTAAATTTTATATATTGGAAGGAATGTGTTATTCCTAAATGCTTGCGTTAATATATTTTCTGTGTGGTTCTTTGTATCTCCCGTAGCTTAAAATTCAACTGTCCAAATACTTTGATTGATACAGAATTTTATAATACAATCTTCTCTTAATTCAGGTTACATCTGAAATGACTCTAGTATTAAGAAATTGTACTTTTGTATTCCTCAGAGACAGGTAGTTGGTTCTCTTTATAGAATTTAAAATAACTTTATAGAATTTAAAAGGACTGTGGATGAGATGATTTTTTTTTCTTTAGGTCTCCAAACTAGAAAAACTGTTAAAATGCCACCTCTGACATTTTTAGTTGCATCCTTTCCCCAAATTCCTTCAACAACTCAGATCTCTCTTTTTAGTACTTGTTTAATCATGAGTATGATCGATCTTGTGTCTCTGCCACATTCAATCTGCCCACTTCCCTATTTTCCCTCCTTAGTTGGTCTTTTTGACTAAACTAAGAACAAAAAGTATCAGTGCAAGTGACTGTTTTTTTGTTTTCATTTTTGTTGTTGTTGTTGTTGTTTTTTTGAGACAGGGTCTCACTATGTAGGTGAGACTGACCTGGAACTCACTATGTAGCCCAGGCTGGTCTCGAACTCACAGTGATCCTCCTGCCTCAGCCTCCCGAGTGCTGGGATTACAGGCATGCGCCACCATGTCCGGCAAGTGACTGTTAATGTAAAGAAATCTCTGAAGTGAAATAATTTTATTGCTGGGATGGTGTTCTAATCTGTTCTTGGAGTATTATTGGGCTGGTATAAACCCATGTTCAGGCAGATCTTTTGCTTATCACTCCATGAATCAACCAATCACCTTTCTTGCCCACATTGTCAAACCCTTTAAACTTTCAGACTTGTTTAGATCAGGATACAAAAGCATGAGCTTTGCTTCTGATCACGATAGTTACAGAAAGGTATTAGACACCTCTACACTTAGAATATATCATTTTGGCTAAGTTTGTGTCTTGTTCTGTTGCCCAGGCTGGGCTTGAACTTGTAATCCTCCTGCTTCAGCCTCTTTAGTAGTTGGGAGTACGTACAGGTATGTGTCAGCATACCCTCATTTTGGGTACATTTAAAAATTTATCCTCAGTTAAGAGATTTGAGACATTTTCCTAAGCCATTGGATTGTCCTAAATCTGAATTGAGCTGGTCTCAGTTGTGTTGCTTATATAAAAAGTATCCAAGTGAAAAATATCTGGGAAGATAGTACTCTTAGCTTGCATCTAGTACATAATGAACATTTACCTAATAGTATCATTATTTGGGCAGTCATATTATTGGATGAATTTTTATAGCAGATAGGCTATTAATGACAAGAAATGAAGTAGAAATCTAACTTTGGGTTTTTTCCAGATTTCTTTGCAAATCATTATGTAATGTAGTTTGTTTTTTGATGCTGTTCTGTCCCTTGATAGAATTATAGAATTACCCTTTTTCTCTGGGGTGTTCTTTAAATGAAAGCAAGTAATTCTAAATTATCAATCAATATATGGCAGTTTCATTGAAATGATAATATAATCTGATCCAAGAAAGACCACATTAGTAGCACTTGTAGGTCTTATCTCACATTAGATCTCAGGAGACAGACTGTATGAGGTGTGGTACTTCCTCTCTAACAACCAAGTCAAAGCAAGAAACAAATATATAGAACATCATAGTGGGTGAATGGCTAAAAGAGTGCTGTAGGGGCTTTAGAGTATGGGAGTGATTACCGTGGGAGGCCCAAACTGGACCAACAGTTGGGTTTTTATTGATTGATTGATAGATACTGGGGATCGAACTCGGGTCCTTGCGCTTGCAAAGCAGGCAGCGGAACCACTGAGCTAAATCCCTGGCCCCAACAGTTGGGGTTTTAAAAAATGGAAAAGAAGAAGCATGGTAGTCAGGGCAAAATAACTGGAATTAGCAAAAGCTCATGCACTTAATTGTGCATTCTTTGATATAGCTAGACTTGTTTGGTAAAATGAAAAGTTCAGATAGGGAAAACATAGAAAAAAGAGAGAGAGAACAAGTGAGTTGGGTAGATAAGAGCTGGCAGTAGCGAACCTTGAAATGCCATGTTAGAATTTTAGACTTTGTTTATAGGTATTGTGGATTGGTTTTTGAACAAGAAAGAATGTGATTTTTAAAAATTCATCTAGTGCTATATAGAATTGTGCACTCAGGAATGGTATTGTGTTGTTATTCTTAACTGCTGTAACCCATGACAGTCATCATTCATACAGCTCTTAACTTTTTCCCCATTAAGCCTAGGCTTAGCTTTAGAATTTTTTTTCAGCCTAGTACTCCACGTGGGCAGTTCTAGTTGATGGTAATTGACAGTCCTGGAAAACTGTTGCCCCTGGTTGAGAGTATAGAAAGATTGGTAGCAGAAACTATTTTGTCTTTTTGAGATGTAAGATTTGACCTTGAACTAGACAGCAGTGACAGTGTGGTTCTGGAAAAGAAAGATGAGGTATTAGAAATACAAGTAAACTTGACTAGCCAGATTAACAAGATTTTGAGGAAAAAGGAAGGAGAGAGAAATAAAAGTTACTGTGGTGATAGTATCAGCACAGGACCCCAAGTGATCTGTCCAGGGAAGATCTTTTCATGAGGCTAATTTATTCTTGATAGAAATAATTAACTAGTTTGTATGTTCTTACAACTCAAAAACTTGAATTTCAAAAGTCACGTCCTTTGTGTCTTCTGCTTTTTGTAGAGCTTTTTATTTGTACATTTGTAGATGTTGTCTGTTATATAATGATTTTGGATCATAATAAGCTAAGTAAGTAATAACATAAGAGTTTTCTGAAATACGTTGTTAAAAGTCAGAGAATCTTCTGTCTAATACAGTGGACCCTTGATTTACAAGCTCAATTCATTCCTGAGGGCTTGTTCTAACTCAAGATGGTCAGTGGAACGTTCAGGCACCTCTACACAGCCTTCAAAGTCTCTTTCCTATATACAGGCAGATCTCAGGGTCCATAGGGAGACATTGGCCTAAGATTTCTCAATTCACCCCACATAGGAAAGGATGTTACAATGTTCCTTCCAGAACTCTTTAAAGGGTTAAATCTGTATCTGAGACAGTCTGGAAGCACAAGTGGCCAGCTGTCATTTGAGTTGTAACTCAAGACTTTGTAAGTTAAAACTAAGATTCCAGTCATAACTTAAGTTGTTCATATGTCAGGCCCATTGTAACTCAAAGGTCCACTGTAATTTGAACTGAAAAAAAAATTTTTTTTTTTTTTTTTTTTTTTGGGAACTGGGGATTGAACTCAGAACCTTGCACTTGCAAGGCAGGCGGCAGAACCACTGAGCTAAATCCCCAGCCCTGAGCTGAAAATTTTTGACTACCTGTTTTCTTACTAAATGGTGAACTCATTCAATATATCCTGTCTCTGGTTAGTTTCTGATTGCAGGGTCTTGACTTTTATAGTGTTATTGTTTCTAACTTCTTTTGTCTTTTAATTGAACAGTCAAAGAATCTAAGTCTGGAAGATGTGACCACAGGTGGTGAAAATTATGTGGCTGGATTAATAGATTATGAATGGTGTGAAGACAATTTATCAGCTTCCCAAACACCACAGGTTGGTAGTTTTTAATTACTATTTCAAACAGATTACATTATATGTTTAAGGTATAAAAACATGTATACTAACCTGAAATCAAGTGTGTGCTTGGAAATTTATTGAATTTATAGACCACTGAAAGTATTAATGAGAATATATATGTATGTATGGAATATGTACGACAGGGAAGTCAATTATTTAAGAAAGCTAAGTTTCTATTTTGAAGCATTTTATTGCTCCATTTAAAAAATGAATAATTTACATGTAGTTAAATAGTTTAAAAAACCTTTCTTTTTTGTCAGTACTGGGAATTGAACTGAAAACTGCTCATTTTAGTTTTTAATTTTAATTTTTATTAGTACATGTTTATAGTACATAATGAATGATTACTTTCATTGTGGGGAGCTGGTACATGTACATAACATGTCTTAACTTCTTTCGACATTGCCTTTGCTTTACCTCCCTTTCTTCTCCTTCCATTTTTGGTCCCATGACTTTGTGCATTTTAAGCAAGAGCTGTACCATTAAGTCACGTTTTATTTTATTGTGAGTTAGGATCTTGCCAAAGTGCCTAAGCTGGTTGTAAACTTGGGATCCTCCTGTTTCAGCCTCTTGAGTACAGAAAATTACAGGCATATGTCACAATGCCTGACTAAATTTACTCTTTTCGATAGTTTGTGTTTTCACAACATGTAACTGTCACCAAAATTAAGATCCAAAACAGTTTTTTTGCCTCCCAAAATTCCTTCATGATCCTTTGTGGTTACCTCTCTTCCCACCTAATTCTGAGCAGCAACTGATCTGTTTTTCTCTCCTTTTGATCATCTTTTTATTCTCCGTACAGTTTGTTGAGCTTCTTGGGTATGTGGATTTTCATCTAGTTTGGAAACTTTTGGCTATTATTTTTCAAATACTTCTCTCTGCTCTCTTCTCTCTTCTGGTACTGCTCTTATGCATACATTGGCATACGTGTTATTGCTATTCAGTTTTCTGATGCTCTATTCATTTTTCCTTTTCCTTCTGTTCCTCAGACTAGATAATTTCACTTAGTCTGTTTCCAAATTTGCTGTTTTTTTTTCTTCTGCCTACTTAAAATGCTATTGAACTTCTCTGATAAATTTTTCATTATAATTATTGTACTTTTCAACTCTAGAATTTCTGTTCTTTTAAATGTGCTGTTAATATGCTACTTGTGACATTGTTTTTGTACTTTGGTTCTGTCGATACGCTTTTTGTTCTTTGAATATATTTGAAACTGATCAAATAGTCTTTGCATGGTAAGTCCAGTGTCTTGACTTTTCCAAGGGCAACTGAGCAACATTCCCAGCCCAAACTATATTTATTATCTAGCTAACATATTTATCATCTATCTGCCATCTTATTTTATGTTTTAGTTTATCTCACTTTTTTGTTTCCCTGTTATTTCCTTTTCCTTTCTTTCTTTTTTTTTTTTTTTTTTTGTACCGGGGCT